GTTCACAAAGAATTATAGTGCCAAGAATTTATTTTACTTACCTGAAGATATAACTCATATAATTTGGATTCCAGATATAAGGCCCGTGGATTTGAAAATTTAGAGAAAACTTGCAAATGAGCAATTAATTGCCTAAACAAAAACAAAATAGGAGAGTGTTACAGAATCAAAGATTATTTTCTTGAGATTATATTACCCACAATTTTATTCTCTTTGACGAGTACTCCAAACACCCTGCCTACAGTTTCACTGTTGATCATACAAACAAATTTTAATTATTTGCATTTAGGAAATCATTCTCCAGAAATTCCAAATCTCAGNCAGGCCTCTCCCTGAAATTCAGGCTCTCCAACTCAGAAAATTATTCAGGATAATTAGAATGTTTTAAATTAAACCAAACTAGAATGGCTTAGAATGGTTTAAATTAAACCAAAATTAGAAAGTAATCAAAACAGTAACAAATTCCAAAGTTAAACCCAGATGATTTTTTGCACTTATCTCTTGCATAGGTTCTATGCAGCAAGACCCCAATGGATGCCTGAAACCATGGCTAATACCGAACTCTGTATATACTGTGTTTTTTCCCGTACATACAGATGTACTGTGGCCTTGACTTCTGCAGTTTGGGATGCAACAGCAAAACCAGTACAGATTTTTTTCCTTCTTCAAATTTCATGGATAGAAGATTTGTTCTTACTGTAATCTTAGCATCCTCAGCATATGATTGCTTTTTCTTTCTGTAATTTGAGAACTTTCACATTTTCACTTAAAGGAAGCACTTTATGGCTTCTCTCTGGCATATGTGAATTGCCAGCCTCACTGCTGCTGCTCTTTGGGGCCATTAAATAAAAGAAGAGTTACCTGATCGCAAGCACTGCAATACAAGAGTGGGGCAACACAAGATTTCATCATGCTACTCAGAAAGTTGTGCCTTTTAAAACTTATGAATTGCTTGTTTCTGGAATTTTCCAATTTAATATTTTTGGATTGCAGTTGACTGGGGGTAACTAAAAGTGTGAAAAGTGAAACTGTGGATAAGGGGGATCCACTAAGATGGCACCAAGAATGTGATTA